TTTTAGGGAATTGGGTCGACTTTTACTGTTGTAAAAATAATAATAATCTCATTAAATGTTATCAAACGAATTTTCTACGAATATAACATATATTATTATAACATATTATATTATTATGACATATTAATACAACATTTACAAAACGTCATCATTTTTCCCCTTCAATTCTACGCCTTTCATCCGAAATCCATACATTCAACATATATACAGTTAAAGCTAAAGATTGCCAAAATCTGGTCCTCAAATATACCTGAATGAAATAACTTCTTCGAAGGAAATCCGAGCCACAACTTTACGTGGAAATTGTAATACACCAGTTCCAATTGCAGGAATTGCAATGGAATTTGCCCCTCTTCTTTCTGCAAAGCTGAGACATTTCTGAAGAATTCCCCGAAGTATCTAAAAATATAGTTCAATCAAAGATGTCCATATCTGCTTAATCAATGACTAAGACATTTTTTTTATTTTCTACGCGTTTATTAACACCAAAAACCCATGATAAATTCGTACGTTTTTGGTCGAACTAGGGCAACCATACACCAGTCCTAACAAATATGAACTTAGTAAACTTCGATAATGGTTTGTACAGTAAGAGTTTGAACCAAATTTAAGGTTTAAGAATTTTAGAGGCTTTCAAATTCCACTATCAAGTGACGGAGGCCATGTTAGATAGCAAGAACAAAACAATCGTTTTACATGAGAAACCATTTAATTCCCCAGAGCAAATGGATTTTATTGTTCTGGCATCTAACCACAGGCAGTCCAAGCTGTATATTTGACAACGCCACGTGATGGTGCAAAGCCTCTATTCATGAGTTTAAAGAACTTGTTAGTGCTAGATTGGAATTTTACGCGTTTTCCCGTGTACATTTTTTCGCCTTTGTTTTCAGACTTTAAACATGCGCATAATTTAGACTAAGTTAAGTTCACTCAAGCTCAGTTAGTAATTTTTCAGTTCAACGTCGACCGTCTTAAGTTACACATCGTTTTGTAAGTATTTATTTCTATTTCTTTTGCTTTCCGTTTACTTTAATCGTTTTCTGTCTTATCGTTAAATTGTAATCTTTCCTTCATTATTTAGGAACTCTCTCTAACACAATCAAATAAACGAAACGAAGAGTAAGACGAGTGTATTTTTTACCGCAATACCGCACCAATAGAACTAGCATTTAATTGTTGAAAGAGGAGTTTCATCAATGTTTTTAAAACACAGATTGCCATTAAATGTTTTCCATTTGGTGAACACCCAGGTGGCTGTAGTGGTTGGGGTCTGTTATTATGGAGAAACAAATTGAATCGAATATAAATGATTCATCACACGCACCAAAGGCCAAAATGGTAAGATGAGCGCCACAGAGTTCATGGATCGCTGTTAAGATATTGCGTTAATAAAAACACTAAAACGATTATTCGCCTCATGCTCAGTGAATATCGATACAATACAATATTCAATGCATTATAAAATAACTGTTATAAATCTCGCGTTATGATTGATTGTAAGCGCGTGCTTGATGAGAGCACACAGCACGCGCGTGCACTTTCAGTTGCGTCATTCCTATCTAAAATATCGGTTACGTTATTGTAAGTTGTATTTTATAAAAGAAATAAAAAACTTGTTTGCTGTGCTGTCTGGAGTTAAAATGCACTTGGGGATTGGCAGAACACTCGAGAAGTGTCGACAAGGGCGCTAGGGCAAAAATTGGTGGTTTTTTAGCCGTTAGAAACTGTTTAAACTGTTATTATAAAATAATTGGGATACTACGCGCGCTATGATTGGTCGAAAACCATGTTTGATGAGATTATCAAAACACGCTGTCGTTATTTTTAATCTATCGCGCGCGCTCATTGGTCAGTTTGAATGAGACGGCACCGTAGGGAGAATTTACTTCTCATTTAGACTGCTTTTTTTCGATCTTTTCGCGCGTTTGCTATTTTATAAAACAAATCAAAAACAGTTTTCCGTGTTTGATACTCTGATCAAAACACTTGGGATGTTTGGAGAACACTCGAGAAGCGGAAAACCACTCCGCTACGCGTCGTGGTTTCCTACGCTCCTCTCGTGTTCTCTCAACATCCCGCGTGTTTTGATCAGAGTATCAAACACGGAAAACTGTTTTTGATCTGTTAACTCATCTGTTCTGTTATGTGCTGGCTTGATTTATTCAGTTTTCCCGTCTATATACGCCAAAAATACTGTGACCAACGGTTTAATCGTACGTAACGAACTACTCTATCCTATACCTGCCTCGTGACCGCTTACGTAAGCGTACGCATCGGTTAATAAGTTAATAAGTTAATCCAAATCCCCTAAATAACCAAGAATGAACAGGGGTAGGAAAAGAAAGGCCAATCTATTGTTCTCTCGTGACCCAAACAATCTTTTTCAATGACAGCCCCCGTCCGTGACTTTTTACAACGTTCACGTGTCGTGTTAGATGGTACCTCTCACGAGTCGGGGTTCGAGTTTGGCCGAGGCCAGTTCGGCTATATCCGAAGTTGGTTCGTTAGGTTTCGTTGGTTACACATCTGTCATCGCTCAGTAAACAAATTGCCACCGTACCTTTCACTTTACTCCTATTATACGAGCAGACGAGAGAACAATAGATTGGCCTTTCTTTTCCTACCCCTGTTCATTCTTGGTTATTTAGGGGATTTGGATTAACTTATTAACTTATTAACCGATGCGTACGCTTACGTAAGCGGTCACGAGGCAGGTATAGGATAGAGTAGTTCGTTACATACGATTGGACCGTTGGTCACAGTAGTATTTTTGGCGTATATAGACGGGAAAACTGAATAAATCAAGTCAGCCAGCACATAACAGAACAGATGAGTAACAGTTTAAACAGTTTCTAACGGCTAAAAAAACACCAATATAACGGAGTCTAACGGCTAAAAAACCACCAATTTTTGCCCTAGCGCCCTTGGTGTCGAGAATCACTCCGCTACGCGTCTTGCTTCTCCTAACACATCTCTCATGTTCTGCCAACCTCCGCGTGCTTTATAACTGCATACAGCACGCGTGCGCTTTTCTATTTCTTCAATAGATGAATGTAGAAGCATAAGATTAAATTGTGACAAATGAGCGCGCCAAATTTATTATATTTACTTGTGTAAAAATACCAATTAACGATTATTAAAAGTCGATATTCAGGATAAAGAAAACGTTTTAGTATTACTTCCGATCTGGAAAACTTTGAAAAACTTTGAAAAGCCGGTCGCTCAACCAATCACAACTTGAGAAACTCTATATCAAAGTCTAAAATTAAACTAATCATAAATATTATTTTATAGTCATAAAAACATACCTTTTCGCCCTTTCCACTGTCCCAGCCTCCACAAACAGCATGGAATACGTGTTGACATTGGAGATGACCTGGTTTAGTTACACCAATTTCTCCCACTTTCACTGGTGATATCTTGCTACAATATCTCTGCAAATCCGGTCCTGCAGCCTTACTAAAGGAACGTGCGCAGGCATTATTCTGTAAGTTCAAGTCTTCTCCAGCTGTATTAACCAGAACATCGGCCTGTCCGCCAATAACAATAAGCATATCATTACGGCGAAAAATCTCATAATATACATATTGTAGTGTGTGTGTGTGTGTGTGTGTAAGAATATATATGAAATATATATTTATACTGCGGTTGTTATGCATCAAATTGAACTGTTCCTCCCCAGTATATGATATAGGAAGCAAATTATGCAGCTGCTAATTATAAGATTCAGAAAAAAATCTAACTCTTGAACGGGATTAAAACCCGTGCCCTGGCGATTCCGGTGCCAAGTCTACATAATATAATAATAATATACATTTTTAGACAGACATCTCAAAATCTCGATGCGTTTACAATTTGTAAAATAGAGTAAAATATGTATAGAACATCAAAATATATATACAAATATACTTATTGTTTCTTGTTCTTACTTTCTCTTGAGATATATCTCCATTGCTAACGAATATTGAAATGCCCTCAGAAGTGGTCAGTACTTTACCACTTGATGAAGCAAGAAAAGAAGTGGAAGTTGACTTGGACTCTTGATAGCGATTGGAACTGAGCGAAGTCAGCTTGGCCATTCCTTCGTTGAATGTTCGTTCTTTACCAAACTGCCTTTTCATTTCATCAAAGAACGCTTTWACGGTCATGTCATCAATATTTGTAAAATGGACCTCAGAGAGATTGCAATGAGGATTCTTCTGGAAGAAAGTTATGACGGTTTCCACCAAAATACTTGCACAAAGATCAAGGGGAAATCCAAATATGCCTGCACTACTGACTGCAGGGACGGCTATTGAACGGTAGTTCTTTGCACTTTCGAGACAATTCTCAAAGGTAAACCTTAGGATATTCTTCTTTCTTCTTGACCCGCTATCTCCTTGATCTCTGAATGAATCCCAGCGAGGACCAACAGCGTGGATAATTCTTTTACATGGTAGCTGTCCAGGTCCTGTTTCCAGCACATGGCCCTCGATAAGTGGACCATGTGTGTTTATGTATCTGTTACATTCACTTTGTATTCCTTGGCCGCCGACTCTAACAATATCCAATGCCAAACCTTCAACATGCTGAAGATTCTCGTTGGCTGCATTGACGATCACATCCACTGGATGTTTCGTAAGATCATCTTTATAGACGACGAGCTTTTTCCTTTCTATTGTGGTGTAGCTGCAAATTACCTCTCCATTCGCCACTCTTTTGGAGCCAGCCATTCCTTTCGAAAAGCTTGCTCCCTGCTCCTCCAGCTGATCCAGGTCAACTAACTCGACAGTGCACTTGTTTTCAGCTTCTATGGCTTTAATAACTTTAGCGCCTTTGCTCGACTTAAAGATCTTTTTCATGCCTGGTTTATCGATTTTAATTTCCTCGTCACATACCTCTTGGACTAAAGACATCACAAATTCTTTACTTTTCTCAATGCCTTCACGTGTACCAGTTAGTCTTATTTCACCGCAATCACCTGGCTGTATTTTTACAAAGGCATCACGCAATCCGGCATGAAGATCTTTGATTTCATTGTCGAATCTTTGGAAAAGGAACCTTGAGCAACCATCGCTGACCGCGACGTTGTCTTCCAGAATTGTATTTTTCTCGATGTAGCTTTCCACAACCGTGAAGCATTCTAGTGCATCATGCTCAACTCCGCTTATCCATAGCGTTTGACACTGTTCTTCAAACCAGATATTCACCACGGTTTGTGCTTCCTGGAAGCTCGCTACGAGTTCATTCCATTTTCGACTTTGGATAACTGGAATGTTTTCGTCTTTGAGATGGATACTTCTTTCTGTTGAAAATGACTCGATGAGCTTCATTGCTTGTCTTGCCTGGTCCTTGTTTAYGGCAAATATTGAAGCTTCATTTTTACCTTTCCTTTGACCATGGACAAGTACCGCTTGTATCTGATTWTGTGAAAGAGATTTACAAACATAGTCTCTTCCCTTGGGAGTCTGGAGGACTCCGATAATTCTTTCAGGTAATTCTAAAATTTCTTCTTTGACCTTGGAAAAGAACTTGTACAACTCAATACTTATTTCCTGGAGACATTTTCTGGGCCCTTTTATGATGACTTCTCCATCATTTTCTTTGACTTCCATGTCAACATGCTTGTTAGATACTTGAAGGTCTTGAAAAAGATCAGAAATCTTCAAAAGAGCCAGTTTCCCTGATYCTAARTCTTTCTCCACCKYWGTTTCGATGGAATCTTGTAGAGCTTTGTCGTCTTGTATCCCGCGAACCAATGTTTCTACTGCACTTACTGCTATTTGCAGGCAGTCATTTTTTCCAGTAATTTTAATCTCATTTGCTGATTCATGGGTTGTGAWATCAGTATCAMTAAATTCATCCTTAGAAGTCAGTTCTTTCTTGATAGCTTCCAGTACTTCATCCCAAACTTTAGCCTCAACACTGATTCGCTGGCATTTGAAATCGCCAAAATATTCCTGCAGAAATTTAATTCGTTTTCCCCAAGGCTGACCTTTATTTGTYGTCTCTTCWTTTTCTGTCATTACTGCAGACTCTTTTTYGGTTGTCCACTCCAAGTCAATTCCAGCCTCGTCTAGTAGATCCTGCAGTTCATCTGAATAGCACCTTGAAATACAAGCCATGATATCTGGGTCTATATCGATTTCTTCAGTTTTCTTTTTCTTGTTATGTCTTTTCTTTGTTGCTTTTTCCTCACTCAAGAAAGGGTAAAACATCTCCATTTGTAATTCTGCGTCCTCCAATACGTGTCTTTTACTCAAGGCTTTATCAATAACTGACAAATAAAATGAAATTTAAAGAAAATTAAAACTATGAAATCAGTTGTAAGGAACTTTTAGTGGTTAAGGAGGTTTTTACCTTACCTAGCTAATATGTTGACAAAATATATGGCAGACAAAAAGAAAAAAAAGGAAAAAGCAACAACAACAAATAAACAACATCAACAAATGCATATAATACCTGAAGGATCWTCAAAGTACACAAGTGCTCTTCCTTGTCCTTGGAGGTCTACTTCACGAGGCTCCACTCCACATCCTTTTCTTTCATTTTCAAAATACAATTCTAATGAATTTTTCGTTGTTTTGACATCTAAACCTGACACCTGGATACAGCAACAGTATGGAACGCTTTCCAGAATGGGCTTACAGCCTTCCAGGCCTCTTTTATCGTTTTCCACTCTTTGTGCCAATTCCTTGAAATCTAGAGGGGAAAATGAGTTATTATTATAAGTTTAGAAAGCAGAGTGTAAAAATGGGCCAATGCAGAGCGGATCAAGAGGTGGAAATAGGGATAAATAGTCCCCCCTCCCCTCCCCCTTTGCTCAATTTTTTCGGTATATCGTTAGTAACAGTTACCACCCTTTTCCTCGAATTCCTGGTAAAACCTACTAAAGTAAGAGTTAATTACCTCGAACGGAGGCAATAAGCCATATACATCCCGAGGGCCGCAGGCCCGAGGGATKTATAGGCTTATTGCCGACGTTCGAGGTAATTAAGTATTTTATTTATCAATTGAGAAGGTTTTCTATCAAATGTTGCTCATTATAAATGCGAACGGTCTATATATAGTTATTAACCGGGTTAATAACTATATATTGACCTCGCATTTATAATGAGGGTTATAACAAAAATAAAGCCTTGTGAATAACAAAGAAAACCGTGTCAATTGATAAATAAGTTGTAATAGTCGCCCCGCTTCTAAAATTCCTGGATCCGCCCCTGCAATGAGGTATTGCTTTCTGGGACGTTCTTGAAATGAATTCCAAAGAGAGTTAAGGATTTGAAAACTTTAAATGTTGCAAAAACGACTGCAATTTACCTATGGGCTCTTTAAACAAAATAAGAGCATTGTCATAGGATCCACGCTGCACGTGCTTTACTTCTGATCCATTGCTCATTTTTTCCATGTATAACTCTAGACCATTTATTGTTGTTTTAGAACTTAAACCTTTCACATGAACCCTGGAGGGATCCAGTGGTATTTCTTTCTCTGGCTCCTTGACTTCTATTTGCAAGTTGTTATCATCAATTCGATGTTGATTGCCAAGTAGCCGTTCTAGACCTAAAACAAATTAACAAACGAGTTGTAAAAAAAAAACACACATAAAAACAGGAGTATGATAAAACTAATTTTGGTTTTATTTTTGAAACTTTGCATGAATAAGTGGAGAGAAAATCAGGGAGGGGAGATGATATTGTAGCTTCTGTAATAGCTATGATCCATGCAGTTAGTTTTCCGCCAGAAAACCAACATGTCAGAATCTAAATAAAAAGGGGGGAATGGTTATAATTCAATTTTGGATTAGTTCGACTTACATTTAACGTTCCGAAACTTTACTTCAGCAACACGTTCCACTTCATCAAACGATAGGTCTTCTACCTCGCCTCCCCCAGAATGTCGAGTGCTTTCGAGGTAATTTATCAGCGCATCTTCTGTTGTTATCTTCGATATACCACTTACTACAAATTCGAGGGGCAGCGCTTCATCTGAGGGCGTATCATTAATTGATTTTTTATTTCCTTTGTGAAGTGTCTCCTTATCATCTCTAGGGTTTACCAAAGCCACGCTTAAGCGGGCATTGTCTAACTTGTGTTTTTTATATTCTGCCACTCGCTTGGCATCTGTCAATAGGGGAAAAAATGTTAAGTGACTCAATTTGTTTCAGTATTTAACATGTTTGTAGTATCCATAGCTTTTTGCTAGCTTATGCGTCGTCTAGAATCATTTTTGTATCCTTTTTGGATGAAGAGTGGTCTTCAAATCGACACATGCCCATCACGCATCACTATACACTGACACAGGCGCAGGCGCAGATAGCATTACATGATCAGTTTTTAAAATAGTTTTCTGTAGCTTCACCGAAATAGTGTTTAATTAAGATGCTAACGGTCTAATTGGTATAGCTGAAAATACATTGTCGTAATAGTAAGGTCAGGTTTTTTTTGAGAATCTGTTCAGTTCCCAACTCACTGCCTGTTAATATTTATGATGTTTGAATGTTTATTGCGGCTTTTTTCTTTGCAAGCTGTAACCGGCTGAGCACAAAATAATACTAAACCAAAGAACAATGGAACATTCCCAGGAATATGTCCAAGTTGCCCACTTTTTTCGATTCGCACGTACAATGTAAGAGGTTGACACATTTACTATACAAATAGCTATACTATACATACGCAAAGCAACCTCGAAAGGTGTTTACATTTTCCGCGGTTTAACAAAAATCGATGTTATAGTATTATAGGGCCGTAGCAAGGCCAAAAATATTGGTGGGTATTCTAGAGCTATCATGCCACGCCCATAGACATTTAAAGATAGCCAAACGCAAGGTAACGCTTGGTAGATCTATTGTTCAAACCAACCTGGCTGCCACGTGAAAATGGCCTATTGACGGTAATCGGTGGATGTAGGTTGCACTTAAATGGCTTTATCTCAATCTAGTAGTATTCTAGAATCAGGACACGGCTAGCTTCGTAATGTAATAATGTATCTTTTCTTATTAAACGTAACTCTGTTGTCCCGTGCTATATATGACAATTTAAATATTAGCCAAAGCAGTTGAAAAATTATTGGGAGTGGGGGGAGGGGGGGGGGGAGTCCCCATTACCCTGACCCTTGCTACGGCCCTGTATATCAACTGTCCTCTTTGTTAAAATTGAGGCTTTCACTTTACCTTCGTGATAACGAAACACTACAATTGCAACGTTAAGAGTATTCTGTAGTTCCACCTTTCTCACAACTCCCCCTTTTGATTTGTTCTTGTTTTCAAAATAGTTTTGAATCGAATATTTTGTGGTTCGGTGTGACAGATTACTAACTCGTACTGTACAAAGTTCTTCAGGATCGCCTGTTTCGTTTTCATCACTGCTGCTAGCGCTGTTTTCGTCACTCGCGGGATCATCGTCTATGTCTCCAGTTGACCATGGTTGGGTTTCTGTCCTTTGATTTCTTGATGGGACAGTGGTGTGTATGGCATAGCCGTTGATAACATGTTCTCTTGCTAGAATGTTACTTGCAACTAAATTCAAGTAATAATAGAATTTATGACTAAACTGACAAGTATTCACGAAATTCAAGAAATCGTAATATGTAAACTGAAGTTTGAGTCCACTGTCCACTAAAGGCGAAATTAGTAACAATTATAATAATTATTAGTATAATTATAGACCTAGCTTTGATGATAGAACCTTTTTTTGAACCCGACAACG